GGCCAACCTTTCAGTTCGCAACCGATGGCTTTAACCAGTGCGCCACCACGACTCCCCTTTGTTGTTGTTAAGGGCCGACCCACGGCGACCCTGAACAGGTCTTTTTTTTTCTTTTTCCGAGGCTGTAAATCTTTACGGGAGCAGAGAGCCACATCATTCCCCCATGGAGCAGCTGGTAGTTTCGAACTGCTGACCTTGCGGTTCGTAACCACTACGCTACCAAAGACTCTCCTTTAGGCCTGCGGATAAAGAAAATGGCAAGAAAGCTAAGCTCGGAAACGGAAATACAGCTGCAAGGAGCAAACGTTCTCTCGGCTTCCAGACAGACGGCCAGGCTCCCTGTGACTTTCCCAGCATCCTCCACGCTCCTGCGCCTCGGTGCTGCCGCCGTCGTGGACAGTGGGCAAAGCGGAAGCTCTGGAGAGACAGGGAGCGCCAGGGCTCTGCGAGGCCACCTGCCCCTGAGGGGTCCCCTCAGCGTGTCACTCGGGCTGCGGCTGCGGAGGTGGCGGGCGGGTACGCAGTGGAGACCTCGAGGACTCAGTGGAGGCCCAGGCGACACTCCTGTCACAGGGCAGCCAGAGCTCCCAAAGAGAAGGGCTCCCACAAAGCCTGACCGAGAATCTCCACCAGAAAGGTGCTCGCGGTCCTCCTGCTAGCACCGGAACCAGCGTCTCACACAGACTCGGCACAGCACTGAGGCCGGAAGTCCCGCCCGACGCACCGTTCCCACAGGAAACGCCTCTCGGTTGTGTCATTGGCCTTTGACCCACAGGGCCGTTCCATGCACAGCATTCTGGGTACCGTAGGTGGTGTCTCCAGATCCAGTGTGGCACGGTGTTAGTGAATATGGAGAGTACCATGGACTGCCAATTGGGACTCTGGTAGCGTAGTGGTTACGAATCGGGCTGCAAACCTCAAGGTCATCAGTTCGAAACTACCAGCCGTTCCGCGGGAGAAAGAGGAGGTTTTCTGCTCCCTTAAAGGTTTACAGCCTCGGAAACCCTGTACAGGGGTCGCTGTGAGTCGAACCAGCTCCACGGCACGTAACAACAACAATATCATGAACTGCCAGAGGAGTAAACAAATCTGTGTTGGAAGACGTACATCCAGAGTGCTCTTTAGACGCCATGAGGAAGAGCCTTGCTCCTTCCTCCTATCTATGGCTAGATTACCGAGACAGATTGTTGCTAAGTGCCGTCTAGTCGGTTCCGACTCATAACGACCCTGTATAGTGTTTTCGAGGAGCAGCTGGTGGGTTTGAACTGCCTACCTTGTGGTTCTCAGCCCAGTGTTGATCCACAGCACCACACTAGAAGTTCTGGTAAAGTGGAGGGTCAGCGTAAAAGGAAGACTCCAACAAGATGGATGGACACAGTGGCATGGGCTCAATGGGCTCAAATGTAACAATTGCAAGGGTGGCGCAGGACCAAGGCAGTGTTTTGTCCCGATGTGCACAGGGTCACTATGAGTGGGAGCCGACTCAAGGCGCCTAACCAGTCTGGCATGGGTAACCTTACCAAATCTGTCTTCACATAACACAAAGGCACAGGAGATCCTGAGCCCCACCTCTTGACAGCGGGTACAGTTCAGGGGCAAAGAGGCTATTGTGCAACCTTCCACTCAATACGCGGGAAATCCTGGCCCAGCAAGTGAGGGATATTCGCCCCAGAAAAGGGCAAAAGGACAAGTGCGGTGGTGTGGACCCTGATCCTTGTCTAGGCAAGTGACTTTCTTCCTTCCGCCATCCTGGATTCTCTGGCGGGGGGGAGGGGGGAATGGCCAAGGGACTATATAAAATATCCAATAGGAACCCTGTGGGAATTACCACCCATGGCTTTTCACACGCATAGACGGGCCCCCTGCTGTAACCAATGCTTTAAGTGTAGGGTGCAGGGACTTCTGGGTCAGGTAAATCCACCCTGAAGATTGTTTTTAAGTGCCATTGAGTAGGTTCTGAGTCGGGCCAGAACAGGGTTTCCAAAGAGCAGCTGGTGGCTTTGAACTGCCAACCTTGTGGTTGGAAGTCCAGTGCCAATCCTAGAGTGCCACACCAAGAGTCCACCATAAAGATTGTTGTTAGTAGGTGCTATGGAGTCCGTTCTGACCCATAGCAACCCTGAATAGGGTTTCCAAGGAGTGACTGGTGAGCTTTGCAGCCCAGTGCATGAATCCACAGCGCCACGATTACAGGCAAGGAAACCTCATGGAGCGGTTCTGCATGTATCACATATGGGATTGTCATGAGTGGGAATCACTAAAGGGCAGTGGATTTGGTTTTGCATTGACGTGAGGAGGCTACAAGAGTAGGTCTGGAGGAAAGATGTGATCAGTTTGAAATGTGTGTGAGACCTGTGGAGGTGAACCTTGTAAAAACCCAAAGTGCTAGCACATCTGAATAGGGTGACTTCAGATCGAATTGAAACTATTTTAAAGCAAGGTTTTCATTTCTTTCTAAAGAAAACTGTTCGGCCTTTTCTACAAAGACAAGAAATCAGGATTTTTACCTTAGAATTACTTAGTGCTTGTTAAGAATATTTACACAGCTGACTTCATAAAAGATGTCTGAATTAGTAAGTTAGGGAAACACAACTGATAGTGTTATGTAGTTAGAAATTATAAATAACATTAGAGCCAAGACAAAGTAATATGTGAATATATTTTAAACGTTTGTTTTCATCTTTATTCCCAAAGTAGTCACTTGATGAGAGTTTTTAATAGTGTTTCTACTGCTTTTCTTTGCAGATTTGTAAAGCAGATTGTTGGGAGCAACTAAACCACAGGTCTCAGACTTGGGGGCAGTTTTACTGAAGGAGTGCAACTAAACAGTTGTGGTCCAGAAAATCGGGCTGCTCCCAGGTCAGGCTGCCCCCTGAGGAACTTGCAAAGCCTGCCTCAGGGAACAAGGAATTCGCAAAGTGTGTCCTTGTAGGCAGCCATGGCCTTCAGTTTAGTCTGCAAAAACATCTAGCTGCCTTAGCTGTTTCCCTAGCAACTACATTCTTCTGATAAATTCCCCCTTACTGCATGCCTCAATAACACCAGATGATTTTACATTCTTTTCCTTGCCCCCAGCACCTCCTTTGATATGCGTATATAATAAACGTGCTGGATCTAGGTCTGAGTCACAGTCTCCATCAGAGTGTTGTGTTTCACCTGGTCTCGACTTTACTATTGTCATTTTGTGTCTTGTGTCTTTTTTTCTAACCTCCTGTCGCCCTTACGGGTGTGGGTCACAAAGTATAGCCACTTGTCCGAGGCCACAGCAAATCAACAAGTGTTAAGTCTTGACTGGTTATAACAGAGAATGCAGATTCATGCTTTAACTTGTGAAAGTAACCTTGTGCTCTTAACCATTCTCAGGCAATTCACTTCACTCCTTTGCCTCTCAGACATATGCGTGATGTTTGATTTTTATTCTTTTTTAAATTGTAGCTTGGGGGAGGTTTACAGAGCATATCAGATTTCCATCCAACAATTTCTATACATTTTGTTTTCTAACATTAGCTGCTAATTTCTTCTTTGTAACAGCACTCTGGTCTGATAAGACTATTGGAACCCCTGAGATTGTGGTCCCTGCATGAGATGATATATATACATACACACACATATGTGGACATGCACACAACATGCCTACACAAACATACTAGTGGTTACATGGGAAAGCATTCAGTGGACTACTGACTTTCAGTTTATCCTTGTTGGTAGTGTCTCGGAGAGGGCACGGAAATCTCCAAGCCAGGTGTAGAAGGAAAGAGAAATTTCTGAAGCAGCAGGAGCCCATCCTAGAAAAGAGATTTTCTGGAGGTGGAAACTTTCTTCTCTAAGGTGGACCCTCAAATCAAGCACTGTGGAGTCAAAGCATATTAACTTTCTGAAGAGGATGAGTCCATTTCTTGCAGAGTATTTTATTTCCCTACCCTGGAGTTTACTGATTGGAGAGTTGAATTTCCGAAACTACACATGGAAACGTAAAGGTAATAAAACCCTTTTTCAACTGAAATGGGAAAGACACCCACTTAAAAAACCACAAGACCACAAATGAGCAGTGAACAATAAAGAATTTACCTGCAGAAAGTAGACACTCATTGGCAAGCACCAGCCAGCCAGCCCTGGAGGCCAGAAGGAGCATAATCATGGCACTTCCTTTGGAGTGAGTTTCTCTAAGAACTACTATCCGGGATATTGAAAGCTTGGGAGCAGCCATCTCTATTAATGTGGAGCAAAGGAAAAAGAGGGAAACCCAAGATGAGAGAAAGGACTGGCCTACAGGATTCATTGTGTCCACGAACAGGAGCTCTCCTAGCAAAAACAGAGGAGCTAGAGGTGCCTGGCTACTACTACAACACTTCTGACCAAGACAACACACGGACGAGTCCTGCTATGTCACTGTAGGATAAGCACTGGACCACAAGGTCAGTGGTGCAAACTCACCAGCCGCTCTTAGGAAATCTATACAGGGTCGCTGAGTTGGAACCAACTCAACGGCATTTAACAACCAAAGAAGGCATTGTGACCCTAAAATATTCTGCAATCCTTGAGCTGAAACTATCCCAAGTCACAAATAGCAGATTAAGCTCATCAAATATTGAATATCACCTTTGAGTTATTTATTGTATTAAAAAAAATAATCTCTGAGTCCAAATAGTCAACAAATTCTCTAAAGCATAGATGAGAAGAGGTCTGTGTGTGTGTGTGTGAGGTGGGACAAGGTTAGCTGGAAGGCACAACTACAAAAGAATGAGAATATTGATAGGTAGAGAATGTGACCAATGTCACTGAACGTATGTGTAAAAACTGTTGAATGCGAACCTATTTTTCTGTGTACACTTCCACCCAAGATACAGTACTATTATTGAAAAAGAAACAAGAATGAACCTACCAAAGACACACAAACTCACATAACAATAAAAACCTGGTACAAAATGATTCCACTTTTATTCATTAATATCTTACAGCATAAAAGATGAGCTATAAAGACAGGTCAGGCAGCTCTTCACACAAACACAAAACAACAGAACAGACTGGGCTCAGGAAGCCTCATGTGTTGAGGGAGGCAACACCCTACGAGAGTGGGCCTGGACCCAGGGGTGCTCCAGAACCTGGGCCAGGGGCAGCCGCTCCAAGGGCTGGTATCTGAGCAGCTTGGAGATCAGGTCCTGGGCCCCAGAAGGCAGTGAGGTGGGGAAACGCACGTCCACCTGAGGCAGCCAGGAAAGAAGAATGAGGAGTCTGGTTGATCACCTCCCTCTTCCATAAGTCCATTCAAGGGACCGTGCACGGTGTTACTGGGCAAGCTTTGTGGGCCCCCAGATACCTCAGGTCCAATCGTCCTTACCATCCAGCTCCCCAGGAATTCCCAGAAGTTGCCCTCCCACCTTAAGGATGCGTCTGTAGGTCTCGGTGTGTGTGGGGCTCTCGAAGGGAGGACTGCCAACCAGAAGTTCATAGCAGAGCACCCCGATGCACCATAGATCCACTGTCTCATTGTATGTTCTCCCCTCGATCATTTCGGGGGACAGGTAGTCCAGAGTCCCACACATCGTCTTTCTTCTAGACAAGGGCAAAGAAGGGTACACTGGGAAGAAGTGTTTCATGCAGATGATGTAGCCACAAGAGGTTGGAAGTCCCATCCCATCTCCACAGAAAACGCTTGTTTGGTGGGATCTAGATCCCAAAGAAGGCAAGCACTTGCGTTCACCAATCTACTATTTTAAGAGTTGACTCATAAAATTCTTTCACTCTTGATCCAGAATGCACAAACATAAGGACCAAATGAATGATATGGAACAAACTGAGGGCGCATCGAGAAGGGACCGTGAGACACATTAGTGAACCACATAGTAAAGTCATCACTACAAGAGTATGGTGACAAGGTCCTTAGTTGATTTGCATGGTCGCTTATGGGTAAAGTTACAAACTTAAAATAGATCAGAAAACAGAAAGTATAATTGAGCCACACTCTTTAAATACATACTGACCAGTCCCTGTATAAGGACATCATGTTTAGTAGAGGGTCTGTGAAAACGAGGACCCTCAATGAGACAGACAGACACAGTGGCCGCAGCAATGGGCTCAAACCAGCAATGACTGTGAGCACAGCGCAGGGCCAGTGTTTTACTCTTTGCGACGTAGGGTCGCTATGAGTCTAAACCAACTCACGGGCACCCAACACCATTTGAAAAAGGCACTATTAAAACACAGCTCCAAGAATGTAACGTTGTCTTATGTGTGACAGGAATTAAAGTGGATCATTCTCATTAGGCACCCAGGCCACCCCCCTACCATCACCTACCTTAGAGAAAGGGTGTGCACAGACCAGCCAAAGTCTGCGATCTTCACCTCACCCCTGAGCCCTAGCAGCAAATTCTCTGGCTTAATATCCCTGTGAATCACCTTCTTCTCATGGCAGTAGATCAGGGCATCTGCCAGCTCCTCCATGATCTTATGGGAAAACAAAGGAAGGACCACCCATGCAGCCCACCACCAGCCCCCAGGAACCCCAGAGCCCTCCCTGCCTGCACCTGACCGTGGCTGTGCGCTGCTCATCTAATCGGTGGCATTTCTGTAGCTCCTTGTAGAGCTCGCCCCTGGGAGCATATTCCAGAATCAGGTACACCCGCCGCGTATCATGGAAGTAGTTGTAGAGGCGCAGGATATTGGGGTGTCTATAGGAAGAATGGACTCCTGGTGTGGCGCTTCAGGATCAGCACTGTGCTGAGAACCACAAGGACAACAGTTCAAACCCACCAGTTGCTCCTCGGAAACCCTATACAGGGTCGCTATGCATCGGAACAGACTTGGTGGCACACAGTAACAACAAAAGAATGGAGGACTGGTCACGTTCCTCCCTGAGGCCCCACCGATTATGCGACCTCAAGCAATTGGTCATAAAACCCCAAACCAAACATGCTGTCATACAGCTAACGCTGTATTATAGCAAGCAGCTAGTGAGTTCGAACCGCTGGTCTTTGTATTAGTAGCCGAGGGTTTAAACACGTCACCACCATTGCTTAAACAAATTGTACTGGGACCAGAACAGCAACATTCCTAGTGGTGGTGGCGGTGTGCTGTGGAGTTGGTTCTGACTCATAGTGACCCTGTATAGGGTTTCCAAGGCTGTAAATCTTTACAGGAGCAGAAAGCCTCATCTTTCTCCTGCAGAACAGCTGGTAGTTTCGAACTGCTGATCCTCAGATTAGCAGACCGACTTGTAACCAGTATGCTACCAGAGCTCCTTGCACTGAACTATGTTGTTGCTGTGAAGTGCCGTTGAGTCGGTTCCGACCCATAACGATCCTGTATAGAGTTCCGAGGAGCAGCTGGTAAGCTTGAACCAACGACCTTGCAGTTCAAACGGCTTTGAAGTCTGGCGCATTAACCCCCAGCGCCACACCAGTGGGGGTAAAAATCTCCAAGGTGGAAGCACAAGACTAGCTTGGTGGTAGTAAGTGGGGGAAAGCTGAGTCTAGACTTCTGAGGGAGTGTTCAGAGAGTCCTTACTGTAGATGGGCCTGGATTTCAATCTCCCTGCGCAGCTGATGCTCCAATCCTTCCTTCTCGATCTGCGATTTGAAGAGGACCTTCAAGGCCACAAGGAAGTGGTTCTCCTTGAGCCGAGCCAGGTACACGTTGCCGAATTTCCCCTTGCCCAGCGGACGCCCAATTTCAAAGTCGTCAATCCTTAAGTTCCGTCTGAGGGGAAAGGAAAAAAGGAACCACACTTCTGGAAGGAGGGGAAGGGGAAGGCAGGGATGCGAGCTGACCTCGCTCTGCATCTGACCCTTCTTGTCTTTGGTTTTTGTAAGGCCCCCACCAGGGTGTTCAGTTAGGATAACTCTGTTGCTGTGGGCTAAATTCCAACTCCTAAACCCAAACCACTGGTGTAGAGTTGATTCCAACTTCTGGTGACCCTAGAGAGCGGAGTAGGACTTCCCCGTGGGGACTCCTGGTGTGGCGCTGTAGGAACAGCACTGGACTGGGAACCGCGAGGTCAGTGGTTCAAACCCACCAGCTGCTCCTTGGAAACCCTATACAGCGATTCTAGGGCACTGAACAATCTTTACAGAAGCAGACGGCCCCATCTGTCTCCCATGGTGGTGATGTTAAGTACCGTGGAGTCGGTTCCGACTCATAGCGACCCTGTACAGGGGTTTCCGAGGCTGTAAATCTTTACGGGAGCAGAAAGCCTCATCTTTCTCCTGCGGAACGGCTGGCAGTTTCGAACTGCTGACCTTGCGGTTCACAGCCCGATTCTTAACCACTACGCTACCAGAGCTCCTGTCTCCCACGGTAGTTCCTGGTAGTTTTGAACTTTCGGTTACTAGTCCAGTGATCTAAGCACTGGATAACCAAGGCTGCTTATACCGACTCACAGTGACGTTCAGTCTCAGGAGTCAGCACTTCACACCCCTTAGCTGTCGCTTTTCCATCCCATCCTCCTCCCGATTCAAATCCCAAGGGTCTCACCTGCAGGGCTGCTCTGTAGCTCCTGTGGGGGGGACGAAGGGGAGAGGAAGGAAACGGGAGACGTTAACATGTATTCTGTGCACACACACATACACAAGCACACAAATCCCTTCCCGTTCACCCGCATCCTTGGGTCCTGTTCATAGCCCCTTCACCTGTGGGCCCAGCAGGACCTGAGGTCTTCACAGCTTTCCGGAGACTCATGAAGGAAATCTTGGTGGCCAGTAGATGTCTTCCTGATCCCTTTGAAGCTGGGAGTCAAGCTCCAAGGATTCCTGAGAAGAGAGGTGAGAGAATACGGGGTTAGGCGCGTGGTAGCCTCACAACAGAAAACTCCCTACTCAAACTACGTAACCGCAAACCCTCCACGTCGTCGGAGAGAAGATGGGAATCCGCCGGCCAAGTCCTTTTATACAGGGGCCCCGCCCTGCTCCCATTTACCGAGCACGTGGTTCCTGGCCGATTCTCATTGGACGAAGTTTCAGCGCTGGGGCAGAAAGCGAAAGCGGTTGGCGGAGATAAGGCGAGGGGCGGGAGCTAGATGTGGGCTGGCCTTACAGGGTGTGGCCGAGCCAGGTGGGTCCAGAGGGAACTAGCCTGCAGTGAGGTGGGCGGTTTAAAGAATGCGATCTCGTCAGAGCAGCAAGGACACATCAGCTGGGCTCTGTGTTATAAAACTAATCATTGAGATTGTTGTTACATGCCGTGGAGTTGGTTCTGACCCATAGCGACCCGGTAGAGGGTTTCCAAGGCTGTAAATCTTTACGGGAGCAGAAAGCCTCATCTTTCTCCCGAGGAACAGCTGGTAGTTTCAAACTGCCGACCGTGAGATTAGCAGCCCAATTCGTAACCACCACACTAAACTCACATAGTTTCCTACACAAACAAGATACTTAGATAAAAGACAGTTGCCAGTATTTTCCACTCTTCTCACCTTCCTTTGGTATTTGGCAAATAATAAAGATTTGTTAAGGAGTCCTGGTGTGGCGCGGTGGACTAATGTGTCAGACTGCACAGTAATTTGAACTGCAAGGTCAGTGGTTCAAGCTCACCAGCTGCTCCTTGGAAACCCTATACAGGACCGCTATGGGTCGGAATCGACTCGCCCGCACTTAAAAACAAGATACGTTAGACCAATAAAGGTCCTGCCATAGTGGGTTAAGTGATGGGCTGCTAACTGGAAGGCTGCTAGTTCAAATCCACCATGAGAAAATCCACAGAGAGAGATGAGACTGCTCCCTGAAGATTTACAGTCTTAGAAACTCTAATTCTACATTACAGTTGTTTTTGTTAACTGCCATACGGTTGGTTCCGACTCATTTTGTTGTTGTTAAGTGCTATTGAATCAGTTTTGACTCATACCAACCCTGTATAGGGTTTCCGAGGTACAGCTGGTGGGTTTGAACTGTCGACCTTGAAGTTTGTAGCCCAGTGCTGTTCCTACAGTGCCACACCAGGACTCCACTCTACCATGTAAGATTACTATATTATTGTTACCTTCGTTCGCGTCAGTTCCAGCTCATAGCAACCTTATGCACAACAGAATGAAATACTGCCTGATCCTGCGCTGTCAGACAATTGTTACCTTTGAGACCATTTTGCTGCCACTGTGTAAATCTACCCTGTTGGGGGTCTTCCTCTTTTTTGCTGACCCTCCACTTTACTAAGTATGAGGTCCTTCTCAAGGGACTGGTCCCTCCTGATCACATGTCCAAAGTATGAAGAACGAATCTCATCATCCTGGCTTCTAAGGAGCATTCTGGCTGTCCTTCTTCCAACACAGATTGATTTCTTCTTCTGGCAGTCCAAGGTACTTTTAATATTCTCCACAAACACCATATGAAATGCATCAATTCTTCTACAGTCTTCCTTACTCATTGTCCAACTTTCACATGCATATGAGAAACTGAAAATTGCATCTAACTCCTCAGAGCGACCTCTTAGCTCTTTTTAACACTTTAAAGAGGTCTTTTGCAGAAGATTTGTCTAATGGAATACGTCATTTGATTTCTTGACTGTTGCTTCCATGAGTGTTGATTGTGGATCCAAGCAAATGAAGTTTTTCATAACTTCAATCTTTTATCCAGTTATCATGATGTCACTTACTGGTCCAGTTTTGAGGATTTTTGTTTTCTTTATACTAAGGTTCAATTCATATTCAAGGTTATAGTCTTTCATCAATAAGTTATTTCA